AGATATGGCCTAATTACCGAACAGTGTTCCGGTTTGGATTGCACCGACATCTCTTTTCTAAGTTTGGCCATCTGTTTGTCCTTTCAATTTCAGTTCTTAAATTCATCAATCAATCCTTTTATTTATGTGATAGGCCTCAATTTAAAATGAACATTTACCTTAAATTAAAGGTATCTTATATTATTAGATATATTATTATAAAACATGCTTTAGTTAAGGAGTTATTGATACTTCAAGTGCAAAATGATAATATAAAACCATGATAAAGATGCACTTTTAAGTACTAATCAACATATATATAAATTTAATGATAGTTTATTTATTTGGATAGATTAATGGAAGTTGAATGATAAATATCTTATTTTGTGGAATTTACAAATTATTTTTCTATTTTAGTTCTTTAATTACTAGAGACTAGTAATAAGCTAGTTGGGGGGTGTGATTAGTATTTAAAAATGCATTTTTATTAAGGTTTTATATCATCATTTTGCAGTTAAAATATCAATAACTCTTTAAACAAAGCTTGTTTTATAATAACATATTTAATAATATAATATACCTTTAATTTGTGGTAAATGTTCATCTTGAATGCAGTCTATCACATAAATGAAAGGATTGATTAATGAGTTTAAGTACTAAAATTGAAAGGACAAAGTGATGGTCAAATTTAGAAAAGAGATGCTGGTGCAGTCTAAATTGGAACACTATTCAATAAGTGAGCCATATCTAGAGTTGTAGATCTCGGATTTAGATCTACTTTATATAAATGGAAAGGTAAGACATAGGCCTACAACTTTCATGTAGAGATCTATTTTTTAATAAGATCATTTTCAAGTCCAAATTATAGCAACAACGAAGAAGTTCGAATTTGTTTTGTAGCCCAAATATTTTTTAGTGTTCAGCCCATATCTAGAGTTCTAGAAGTCCAACTGACCTCTAATTTTTTTTTTTGGAAAGCTGAGACAATTTCCTACTAACCTCTATTTTTTTTATCTTGGAAAGCTAAGATAATTTCCTACAACTTTCATGTTTTCAAGTTGTTCCAATTTTGACGTTATCAATGATATTTGGGGTAGATAAGAGAAGATAAAGATTGTTACCAAGTCGAGAGTTGACCACCTACAAATCAATTAGTCATTAAATCAATAGTTCCTAATTTTGGCCAATAAAAGGAGGCATTTGCCATGCATTTGGTATCTTGGTTTTCAGATCAAGATCATGCTCTTGTTTTCTCTCTTTGTATTGCTTAAGTTTTGCTTTCATTAATATCAAGTTTATGCCTTTCATTTCCTTTCCTTTACTTGATAAACTTTTATGTTCTTATTTTGTTTATCTATTTTGCTTCTTATTTATGCTCTTATTTTATTTATTTATTTTTCTTTCTTTCATTATGTTTAGCTAGGTTTATTATGTCAAGGTGAAAAGATTACACTAATGGTATAAGAATAAGTATAGTGTAAACTCAACATGGACCTTAATGTTTGATACTAACATGTTTTATATTTGTTATCTTGTTCACTTTTAATATTTTGATTGTTAAATGGTTAATTTAGATTTATGTTATATAATACTTGGTAGAACAAATACTTGGCACTTTCATAGCCCATACTATATGGTATAACCGACACCTGTGCTATGAAAACAACTTGAATGCCTGATAATATTTACAATTATTAGCATTAATCGAATAAGATAACTAATATAATCATATTAAAAATTTATAATCTGATCAAAACCTCCTTTATATGTGGTTTCCAATTGAATAATAAGAGTTTATACTATACTTATTTGACATACCATTAGTGGATCCTATAACCTTGACATTTGTTATTATCATTGTTTAATCCTTACATTAATCTTCCATCTTAAAGTTCTCATCAACTTCTTTTTCTTCTTCTTCTTCTTTATCACTATTATTGGTATTATTGTTACTATTTTTGTTGTTATTGTTGTATTATTATTGTTATCTATAATTTATACAATTAACCTCCTTGTGGTTCGACCGTGATCTTGCCGGGTTATTTATTACTTCGACACTCCTCCACTTGGAAGAAGACATTTATCTTTTGGTTGTGTTATTTACTAAAAATTAAAGATATTATATTATTAGATATGTTATTATAAAACATGCTTTATTTAAGGAGTTATTGATACTTGAAGTGCAAAATGATGATATAAAACCTCGATAAAAATGCACTTTTAGGTACTAATCACTTCTCTTTCTATTCTAGCTTTTTAGATTCAACTCTTTTACCCTATGAATCTATAGGTTTGCATCCGGTTCTACTTAATGAAGCTTTATGGTATTGTGGTAGCTGTTGTGGTTGTGATTTGAAAAAAGTTATTTTATAAAAAATGCTTTTGGTTGAGGTTGATTTTGTATTTATATATATTTGGTTAAAATTGTGGTTGAAATTAAGGTTAAACAAAATGTAGTTCAATGTGTTTGGTTAATAATGCTTTTGAAATTGAGGTTATAAAATAATTTTTAAAAATATATATTAATATTGATAGTTTTTAATTTAAATATTGTAGATTTAACTATTCTTATTACATCATGAAATAAATAATACTTTATATAAAATAATTTTCGTTGTTCTATTAAACTATTTACAATTCCATCACGTATGAAATACATCTAATAAGAACTATAATTTTTTTGGTTTTTGAAGCGCACAACAACATTAGGTAAAATATAATCAGGAAAAAAATTGAAATTGCGATCAAATTCTGTAAATGTTACATCATCAAGCAACGATCTTTGTGTAATTTATATAATATCATTGAATAATGTTAAACATTAGTTTTTCAAATAAAACATAATTAAAAAATAAAAGATAATTTTTATTTTTATTTTATTGGATCGAATCCAGTTCAATATATATTAAACTTTGGACTGGACTTGATCCAACCGGAATTAGTCTAGCCGGAACAATGAAATATACTATATTGCTCATGCTAATTATACTATTCAGTGAATAATGTAATTAACATTAACAGTGCAACTTGCACTCTTCATTCACTAAATAATGTAATTAGCATAGTGCAATTAGCTGCATTGTTCTTACTAATTTCATTGTTCATGCTATATTGTTGAACAATGTAATTAGCATGAATAATGTATATAAAACAGTAATTTGTGGCTTTTTATTCTTTGTATTTTGCTTACAAAAACATCATGGAACCTATAAACAATAAATTATATTTTTTTATTAAACAAGTTGTATCTATATTTTAAACAAAATACAGACACAAACTCTTTATCAAATGAACTCACGTTTTCTTTGATTGCATGATGTGTTATGCCCTTAACGCTAAATTCTGATCTTGATCAACTGACCATATATTTTGTATGGCCAAACAGTCTTGAACACCATAATTCAGCCCATTTACATAACATGCAACTTGTTGGTCTTTAGTTTTATTCAAATTACATCTAGCTTGCAATTATAAGAACTCTTCGGTATAGGCAGAAATTGAACGTATACTATGTAACCGTTCTAAAGTTGAGGGAAAAGGGACTTGCTCATAGGAAAATGGTAGAAAACGACCCTTTAAAAGCGCCTTCATCTGATCCTAATTTTGAATTGGGGGCTGTCCTCTTAATCTCAGGAAATCTTGGTAACACTGCCACAATGCACAAACATTTCCACGTAATTTGTAGCCTATAAAATCCACATTGCATTCAGGTTCAACTCTCATAATATCAAAGAAACACTCTACTTGAAGGAACTAAATAAGCTTCATTTCAGCTACTTCTCAGAAAGGGTTTTTAGAGCAGAAATGGAATTAGAAGCTCACCAAACTGTCTTTCATTATGATAAGGATAACATTCAACATCAAGATTTGGATAAACAGCTTTGCCAGAAGCTCTTCAATCTCATCAAATCAACTGAGAGATTGTTCTTTGCTCAAAAGCTCAAATGCAATTTCTTCAGAGAATGTGACGAAGGCTCATCCTTCTTTCATACTCTTATAAGCCGACAACATCGCAAGAATTCCATTTCTACTATTCAGCTCAATGATGGTTCCCTTACTGCTTCAATTGATGAAGTCAGGGATGCTTTTGTTTGTTATTTCAGGGACTTGCCTGGCTCTCACAAGGACACTCTTCCATTGGATGTTGAAGTCTCTCGATCTGGCCCTTGTCTTGATCCTGCTTCTTATGCATCTCTCCTTGCTCCAGTCACCAATGACATTATCAAGCAAGCATTACTCAGCATTGATGATGACAAGGCTCCAGGGCTAGATGGCTATACCTTTTCTTCAAAAAATCCTGGGACATTATTGGTGGACACCTCTGTCTGGCAGTTCGTGAGTTCTTTGCTTCTGGAAACCTTCTTAAGCAGATTAATCACTCCATCTTTGCTCTCATTCCCAAATATATAAATGCTTCTGCGGCTACTGATTTCAGACCTATTTCTTGCTGCAATGTGGTATACAAGGTGATTTCTAAGATTCTCTCTGCGAGATTTGCTATTGCTCCTACGAATATTATTAGCCCATTGCAAAATGCTTTCCTGGGACGTAGATTGATGGCTGATAATATCCATCTTCTCCAAGAGCTTCTTCGACTATATGAACGTAAGCATGTTTCACCCAGATGTTTGATGAAAATTGATTTCAAAAAAGCTTTTGACTCTATCCGATGGCTTTTCCTGAAACAGCTCCTGTCTTTTGGTTTCCCAAGCCGTTTCGTGCATTTAATTATGCAGTGTGTGTGAGCTACCTCCTTTTCTATTGCTATTAATGGTAAAATATATGGCTTCTTCCAAGGGAAGAATGCGGTGCGTCAAGGTGATCTTTTGTCCCCTCATCTCTTTAGGTCTTGTATGGAATACTTTTCCAGGATGCTCAGGATGGCCTCTATAAGCTCTAGCTTTCAATTTCACCCAAAATATGGTGGTCATGATATAAGTCACCTGGCCTTTTCAGATAATATTATTTTGCTCTCTAGGGGAGATAGGCAGTCTATCTCTTGTTTATTTCAGCAACTCATATTATTTGGACACATCTCTGGGTTGGCTATAAGTAGAGAAATATCTTTAATTTATTTTGGTGGGTTTGGAGAGTAGATCAAGCATGCTATTCTTCATGACAAAGGCTTCATTGAAGGTTCCTTCCCCTTCCGATATCTTGGTGTTCCTCTCAGCCCCAATAGGCTACTAGCTAGCCAATTATCTCCTCCATTGTAGTAGCTGGAATCAGCAGTTCAATGCTGGCTGGGGAAGTATCTCAGCTATGCTGGAAGGGTCAAGTTGATCAAATCAGTACTTTTCAACATGGTGCACTTTTGGTTGAGCATTGTTCCCTTACCAGACATAGTTACTAAGCAGATTGTCTGCATCTGTTGAAATTTTCTATCAACTAGTAATATTTTGAAGAGCAAATCTATCCTGGTTGCTCGGAAAGTTGTCTACCTGCCCAAGAAAAAAGGGGGCTTAGGTTTGTTCGATATCAAAGCTAGCAACAAATGCTTCCTTGCTAAGCAGTTATGGAACATCACCTCATAAATGATGATATTTTGATATAGTGGATTCATCATTATTATCTTTCTATTGTTTTTATGAACCTTATCACCAATATAGAAGTCTATTATCTCTTTTAAGGACCAGCTTGTTGTAGATTGTGGTGGCCAGCATCAAGTTATTGCACTGATGGCCACTTGGAGCAGTGGAGAACTTCTTTTTACTACTCAATCCTATGATTTCTTGCATTTCAAATATGATTGTGTCCCTTGGGCTAAGGTGGTTTGGGAAACTTGGTCTTTGCCCAGTTATAATTTCATTTCATGGCTGGCGGTTACGGGGAAGTTTCGAACTCGTGATAGGCTTCAGTTCCTGGATATTGATCCTTTATGTGTTTTCTGCCGACTTGATGAAGAGACCCATAATCATTTATTTTTTAGCTATCCTTGAACTTCTCTACTTTGGAGGATGGCAAAATCATGGCTTCGGCTGCACAGGAGTATGTCAACCATTCAATAGTGCAATCCGTGGCTTTCTTTTTGGCAGAAACAATTTTGTTGGTAGAATGCGTAGAGTTTCCCTTGATATTTTGATCTACTTGATTTGGGAAGAGAGAAACAAGAGGGTATTTCATAATTCTTGCACTTCCTGTATCTCTTGTTTTTCACAAATTCTATATTCTTTTCTACATGATTTTGCATTTTTATTAATAGATTATCTTTTAGGGTGGTGTTGTTTTGTTTGTTAGGGCCGCAAGTGTTCTTTTACTGCTGGTGATGGCTTGTCTCGGATGGGGTTGCAGTGTTAGTTAGATGTTATCCATCTTTCGGTTGTGGCTGCTTGTGATGTCTTATATGTTGACTTACTAGATGGTTGTGTTGATGTGGCTGATGATGCCTTTTGCTTTATTTTTTATCATGTGTTAGGTCGGGCACCTTGTCTTTGATTTGGTTCCTCTTCTAACCTTTATCAATTATCTCTTTCAACTATTTGTAATTTTTTTGGCTTTGTTGTATATGTTTTATTAGGAAGTTTGTTCCTCTTTTGTAAATCATGTATATGAACTTGTTGGTTCTACAACCTTGTATATTTTTGTATCTGCTATATATACATACATTTTGATTTAAAAAAAGAAAAAGAAAAGAAACAACCTACTTTATATATCTAATCATGAAATTTTCAATATCCACTAATTAGTACTTAAAAGTGTATTTTTATTAAGGTTTTATATCAACATTTTGCACTTGAAGTATCAATAACTCCTTAACTAAAGCATGTTTTATAATAACATATCTAATAATATAAGATACCTTTAATTTGTGGTAAATATTCATTTTAAATGCAGGCTATCAATAAATAAAAGGATTAATTGATGAATTTAAGAACTAAAATTGAAAGGACAAAGAGATGATCAAACATAGAAAAGAGATGGTGGTGCAGTCCAAACCGAAACACTGTTCGGTAATTGGGTCATATCTTGAGCTGTAGATCTCGCATTTAGATCTACTTTATATGGATGAAAAGCTAAAATATAGGCTTATAACTTTCATTTGGAGCCTAAGATTTAAAAAGGTCATTTTCAAATCCAAATTGTAGCAACAACAAAAAAGTCTGAATCTGTCCTAAAGCTCGTGCACTATTTAATGTTTGGCTCATATATGGAGTTCTAGTAGTGCAAATGACCTCCATTGTTTTTCCTGGAAAGCTAAGACAATTTCCTATAACTTTCATGTTTTCAAGTTGTTCCAATTATGACATTATCAATAACATTTTGGGCAAACAAAAGAAGATAAGGATTGTCACCAAGTCAAGAGTTGACCACCCATTCATCAATTAGTCATCAAATCAATAGTTTTCAATTTTGGCCTATAAAAGGAGGCATTTGTCATGCATTTAGGCATCTTGGTCTCCAAATCAAGATCATGCTTTTGCTTTCTCTCTTTATATTTTTGTAATGTTTAAGTTTCATTTTCATTAATATCTTGTTTATGTCTTTTAATTCCTTTCCTTTACTTAGTTAACTTTTATCTTATTTATGTTCTTCTTTTGTTTATTTATTTTTCTTTCTTTTATTATGTTTAGTTAAGTTTATTATGTCAAGTTTAAAAGGTTACACTAATGGTGTAAGAATAAGTATAGTGTAAACTTAACATGGACTTTAATGTTTGATACGAACTTGTTTTATATTTGTTATCTTATTTATTCTTTAATACTTTGCTTGTTAAATAACTAATCTAGATTTATGTTGTATAACACTTGGTACAACAAAATGCTTGACACTTTCATAGTCCATACTGTATGGTATAACCAACACCTAAGCTATAAACGAAACATGATTTGTTGTTAACATAAGATATAATCATGAATGTCTGACGAGAATTACAAGTATTCGTATTAATCAAATAAGATCACTAATGTAATCATGTTAACAATTTATAATCTGATTGGAATCTCCTTTCAGTATGGTTTCCAATTGAATAATAAGAGTTTATACTATACTTGTTTCACATACCATTAGTAGATCCTCTAACCTCGACATTTGTTATTATCATAGTTTAATCATTACATTAATCTTACATCTCAAAGTTCTCATCAACTTCTTTATTATTATTATTATTATTATTATTATTATTAGTACTAGTACTACTACTACTACTGCTACTACTATTATTGTTATTATCGTTGTTGTTATTATTGTTGTTGTTGTTGTTGTTGTATTATTGTTATCTATAATTTATACAATTAATCTCCCTATGGTTTGACCTCGGTCTTACCGGGTTATTTATTACTTCAACACTCTTGTATTTGGGAGAAGACATCAATCTTTTAGCCGTGTCAAGTTTTTGACGTCGTTGCTGGAGAGGTAAGTTCTTGTACAAATTATAGTATTTATTTTATTTTCTCTTTTCACTTATCTTGTATATAACTTTGTTTTTTTTTTTTGTTTCTCCTTCTTTTGTTTTCTTCTTCTTTTTATTCTATTCCTACACATGCCTAAGAGTGTGGTCATGTACATTAAGTTGTAGACTTTATAGGATATCCTCATCATTTTCAGAAAATATGGCCAAAAAAGATAATCAATCATTTCATAATGAGAATAATGAGAATGACCGTGTTAAAACACTTAGAGACCACATGAATCCCATAAGAACAAGTGCACCATCATGCATAGTTTTCTCTCCTAATGCATCTCATTTCAATTTTAAGCTAGGCATTATTCAACTTTTACCTTCTTTCCATGACTTAGATTTGGAAAATCCATACTTGCATTTAAGAGAATTTAAAGAGGTCTGCAACACATCTAATGATTCAAATTGTAGCATAAACACCATCAGATTAAAGCTTTTTCCTTTTTTATTAAAAGATATAGCTAAAACATGGCTACAAAATTTGAGACCAGGATCCATTCGTGCTTGAAATGAAATGTAACAACAGTTTTTAAAGAAGTTTTTCCTATCTCATAGAACAAACTCTTTCAAAAGATAAATCATCACTTTCACTCAAAAACCAGGAGAAACATTTTATCAATGTTGGGATAGGTATCAAGACTTAGTTAATACTTGCCCTCATCATAGTTTTGAGATATGGAGATTGGTTTCATATTTTTATGAAGGCTTAATACCTAAAGATAGGCAAATGGTTGAATTAATATACAAGGGAACCTTTGAAGATAAAAACCCTAATGAAGCGATGGAATACCTAGACTTGCTACCTAAAAATGCTCAAAATTGGAATACTACAAGCAGGTATAAGGTACAGAGTAAAACTCAACCTCATATATCTAGTGGAGGTATGTACAACTTTAGGGAAGATCATGACCTCTAATCCAAGTTTGCATCTTTAGCTAAAAAAGTCGAGGCATTAGAATTAAAAAAGAGTGGTCAATTAAAATCTATTCAAGACATTGCGTGTCAAATCTGTGAAACAAATGAACACTCAACCAATGATTTTCTAAACTTGCCTTTTTTTAAGGAATGTCTCCATGAACAAGCCTATGCTTTAAATAGTTTCCAAAGACCCAATCATAAACTATACTCGCAAACATACAACCCTAGTTGGAGAAATCACCAAGATTTCAGTTGGAAGAGTGACAATGCACAAACTTCACCACTACAGTTTCAAGCACACTATAATTTCTAAAATTCTCATGGATATGCACCTTCTTATGCTCCATCTCTTAGAAGAAATTTTGAGGAAACTTTGTATGTATTCATTGAAAAGCAAGAGACAATCAACACTCAACTTGCTCAAAGTATAACAGATTTTAAAGATACTCTTGCAAAATTCACATCTGCTCTTAATTTTCAAGAGAAAGGTAAGTTTCCATCTCAACCACAGCAAAATCTCAAAGGGCAATACAATGTAAATGCAAGTAGTTTTGAAAGTCAACACATGGATCAAGTCAAATCAA